GTCTGTTAATATTCTCTGTCTATTAGATTACCATAATATGAAAAATATAATTATAATCTCTGTATATTTCTATGTATAAAAATATAATATGCTCTGCTTTTAGATGCAAGTAGGTTTAAGTAAGCTCTTTTTTAATAAGGGCTACATCCTCCCCCTTCTAAACTTCTCATGCCCTCATGAGACATTTAAAATTGAATCACAGTTCTGACAATAGGGCCAGGGGCTGTAGGGACACACTGGGAACACTGAGCCATGGGGTGACACCAAACTGTGTTGCAGCTCTTTCGGGTCTTTGACAAATCTTCAATGTGTACTACCATCCCTCGGTGAACCATAGTTAATGGTTTATCAGTGGGTCGGCCCAAATCATCATAACTCAGCTTTATTACTGGTTTCACTTCTCTTGAAGACTTACGACACACAGCAGGTTCAGACCCCGGTTTGGGAACATTTCTGTGGTCATTGTCTCCTACACCTTGATCATCCACAGCTTCAGCAGGCTGATTGAGAACCTCTCTCGCCTCCTCCTCTTCCACTGTATCTTTTCTCGCTTCACACTCTGAATTTAGTTCTGGACCATATTCAGCAGGTATAATTTCAGGTTCCACAACAATTTGAGGTGTTGGCAGAGTTCTCAGAGCAGGAATTAACTTTGGGTAGTAATAACAAAGGTCGTCATCCTCACTCTCAGATGTCTCATGGTTTTCACCTCTTACTTGCTCAACATTTTCAACTTTCTTTTCCTTTTGTACTCTTTTTCCTGATTGTGCTCTTGTTACAGGTGACTGTGTTGAGGGATTGAAGTCATTCGCCTTACTGAATCTCACATTCTCTCCAACAGGTAACAAGTGGTCTCGATGCATTGTCCTTATTGCTCCCATTCCACGCTCAGGCCTCAGTTTATAGACCGGTAAGTCCTTAAACTTCTCCACAACCACATATGGTAAGGAATTCCATCGGTCCTGGAGTTTGTTTTTTCCTTTTACAGCAAGATTTCGAATGAGCACTCTGTCTCCAACAGTCAACAGTTGAGGTTTCACTCTTGTGTCATAGAGCTTCTTGTTTCTTTGATGAGCCTTCAACGAAGTCTCAGCCGCCAGCTGATATGCTTGTTGCAGTTCAGCTTTCATTTTCTCAACGTATTGCAGATTAGTCACTCCTTTCTCACCAGCAGGGGAAATGCCAAAACATATGTCTATGGGCAGACGAGCCTCTCTTCCAAAAAGCAACTGATAAGGGGAGTAGCCTGTAGCCTCGTTTTTTGTACAATTATAAGCGTGTACAAGCTGAGTGATGTGTTGACTCCACTTACTTTTTTGGGCTGGCTCCAGAGTACCTAGCATTGACAGAAGGGTACGGTTAAAGCGTTCTGGCTGTGGGTCACCTTGTGGGTGGTAAGGTGTGGTCCGTGATTTGCGGATCCCCAACATTCCCAGAAGTTCCTGTATCAACCGGCTTTCAAAGTCTCTTCCTTGATCGGAATGAATGCGTGAGGGCAATCCGTAATGAACGAAAAACTTTTCTACCAACACTTTGGCAACTGTCACAGCTCGCTGGTCTTTAGTAGGGAATGCTTGTGCATAGCGGGTGAAGTGGTCAGTTATCACTAGCACATTAGCAATACCCTTACTATCAGGCTCAAGGGACAAGAAGTCGATACAAACCAAGTCTAGTGGACCATTGCTGGTAATGTGGCTTAATGGGGCAGACTTTTGAGGTAAGGTCTTGCGTGTAATACAACGACCACAATTTTTGATGTATTGCTCAATGTCACTGGTCATACGTGGCCAGTAAAAACGATCTCTCAGTAACTCTGTGGTCTTCTCTACTCCTAGGTGACCAGATTCATCATGCAGAGACCTCAGCACTGTTAAATGGTATTTCTCTGGCAACACTAGTTGAACTTTCTCTTTTCCACTTTGGTTTTTGGTGACTCTGTACAACAGATTATTTCGAATGACAAGTTTGGGACCTTGGCGTTGCAGGAGAGTGAGGGTAGGATCAGAACCTTTTATAGGGGTGAGTGGCTTGTTTCGTGCAATGTCTTGTTTTACTTTGCCAATAACAGGATCCTGTTCTTGTGACAATTTTAGGTCAGCATGAGTCAACTGTTCTAGGTGACAAACATCAAGCAACGCAGGACAAGAGTAAACAGTGGGGATGCTACCAGGTGAAACACCTAACTGGTCTATCAGTCTGGACTTTTCATCACTCCAAGACAAGTTGGACAACTGACAAATAGCTTTTACTCCAGACTGTGGAATTTCAGTCCAAGAAAAGGAAGTGGCAGGTTCCGCAGGATAACGGGAAAGCACGTCAGCATCAATGTTGTGTTTGCCTGGCTTATACTGCAGGCTGAAGTTATATGTGGCCAAGGCTGCTAGCCATCTATGACCAGTTGCATTCAACTTTGCACTTGTCAGTACGTAAGTTAGAGGATTGTTATCAGTTCTCACAACAAATGGAACTCCATACAGGTAATCGTGAAACTTGTCTACAACAGCCCACTTTAATGCAAGGAACTCTAGCTGGTGTATGTGATATCTCTGTTCTGAAGCACTCAACTTTCTGCTAGCAAAAGCAACAGGTCGAAGTCCATCAGAGTGTTCTTGATTCAGCACAGCACCAATGCCGCTCAGACTTGCATCAATGTGGAGTACGTACGGTAGGGATGGATCAGCAAAGGCAAGTACAGGTGCCTGAGTTAAACACTTGATTATCTCTTGAAAAGCTTGTTTACATGCGTTGTCCCAACGCTCACCAAATTGATCAGTCTCCTTGAAGTACTTCTTTCCTTCCACCTTACTCTTTCCTTTTGCAGGTGGGTAACCTTTCGTTAACTCTGTCAAAGGTCTTACAATGGAGGAGTAATTCTTAACGAAACGGCGATAAAATCCACAAAATCCAAGGAAAGATCTTAAAGATTTTAGGTCAGTAGGCTCTTTCCACTGAGTCACCGCAGCTACTTTCTCGGGGTCTGGAGCTATTCCTGCAGCAGAAACAATGTGTCCCACATACTTGACTTTTGGCTGACAGAACTGGCACTTGTCGATAGACACTTTCAGCCCCCATTCCTCCAAACGGTCGAGGACTTTCATCAATCGCTCCTCATGCTCTTCCAGTGTACTTCCAAAGACAATGAGGTCATCAAGATAGACAATCACTTGTAATAGATGCATATCTCCAACCACTTTCTCCATTAATCTTTGAAACGTCGCTGGGGCCCCAGTGATTCCTTGTGGCATACGTTGAAACTGGTAGAACCCCAGTGGGCAAATGAATGCAGTTTTTTCTTTGTCTTCCTCAGACATCGCAATTTGGTAATAGCCGCTTCGCAAATCCAAAACTGAAAACCATTTGCTTCCCGCTAGGCAGTCTAATGCATCATCAATGCGAGGGGTGACATATTGATCAGGTGTAGTGCGACTGTTTAGAGTCCGGTAATCAATGCACATTCTCACAGCACCACTCTTTTTGCGCACTATTACTATAGGCGATGCATATGGGCTTCTGGACTCCTCAATGATACCAGCAGCTAGAAGATCTTTCAGATGCCTTCTGACATCATCGATATCGGCTGGGGCAATGCGCCTTGAACGCTCTCTGAATGGGTGAGGATCATGCAGTCTAATTTGATGGGTGACTCCTTTAGCCAAGCCAACATCCCATTCCTGTGTCGAAAACACATTCTTTCGCTCAGCCAGCTTCAAGCGTAATCTTTTCTCCCAAGCTGTAGGTATGTTCGAATCACCAAAGTTAAACACGTCAGGATTAATCTGATCGTTAGACTCTGTAACTCCATGAGCAACAATGACTGTATCTGTAGGGAATATTTGAGCAACTACAGTCCCTGGAGGAACTGAGAGTTCTTTGCTGGTCTCATTTTGAATCAAAATCCTGAAATTGTTTACATCTACTGCTGATGAAGGAAGAACGACAGGGGAAACAAGCAGTCCAGCAGGAAGGGAATCAACAGGAGAGGTTTCAATGAGAAAGATGTCTCTTCTCAAAGGTTTTTCAGACTCAATTTTGCATGAAGCATATCGCTCACCTTGTGATGGGACATTAAGCATACCTGGGCCTTTCCATCTCACTTGGCCCTCAGGTTGGTCGACAGCAAAAGATGTGGTGTCCAGGTGTGTTTGTATTCTGAGTGAGTGGGCACTGCGTGTGATATTAGTACCTTCACCATTTGTCATTCGCTGGAAGAAGCTAGCATTGGTTCCGATGATTAATGGAAACTGCTGTGGTCCTTTAGGGGCTGGGCAGACTAAAGCAAGGATAGTGACTGTTTCTTCTGCACCAGTAAGAGCAACAGGGAATGTGACATCAACTACAATGTATCCTTTATAGGGATAATTGGATGAACTTAGGCCCCAGATGGATAGGCCAGAAAAAGGAAGTATGGGCACATTTGACAGGTGTTCAGAATACCAGGAGTCGAAAACAATAGTGACTTGAGATCCGCTATCCCAAAGAGCATAGCATGGATGTCCTCCTACTTTCACAGCAATGGTAGACGCTGGTCCAACTAAACCCTTGGGAAGACCCTTTGGCTCACAGCTGTGTATCTGGCTCTTTTTGGCAAAACAAGCTCTATCTTCAGCATGGCTGTTCGGATTACTCTTTGTTCCTTTAGCCCTTTTTAAGGAACGTACTAGCTTGTTGATTACAAGAGTGGCATTTTCAGGGGCTTTACATTTAGTTGCGAGGTGTCCCTCTTCACCACATCGGTAACAAAAGTAGTCAGCTTTGGGTTTTGAAAGCTGGTGTTGCGATGAACTTGAAACAGGGGTTTGTGGTAACTGGGCATGGCTTGTTGAATTACTTTGACCAACACTCATTATAGCTAACTGTTGTTGTAACTGCTGTACTTGTTTTTTCAACACCTGAACCTCAGTCTCTTAGACTTCCTTTGAGTCTGTGGGGCTTAATTTGCGTGGTTTCACTCTGTTCTCGATCATCATGGATGAAGCAATATTTGAACGATCAGTTTTTATCTAAGCCCTCAATTCTTGAATTTCTGCTTTAAGTTCATGTACAACAGTGGGACAAATGCTTTCTTCCTGCAAGTGTATGGGCTTTGCAGTAGCAGTTATCTTGCGTCGAGTGGCTTCTATCTCCTCAGCCTCACGAACCTCATTTAACAGACTCAGGAAAGTTGGTGGATTTTCTTTCCGCTCCCTTAATCGCAACTGCAATAGCATCATGTCGGATTCAACAGCTCCTCGAATCAATTGCTCTACTCTAGCCTTATCAGCATTCGCAGAAGTCAGTCCCCCTTTTTGGATGACTTTAGTCAGTGATTTCTCCATTCTTCTCAGAAAAGCAGAAAGTGACTCACCAGGACACTGTCTAAGAAGCCGAAAAGCAAAGTATAAGTCTTCTCCAGACTCAGAAGATCCAAAAGTACTTTCCAGAGCTTCCACATATTTCAACGCTTCAGCATCAGGACACGACATACGGACAGCTTTAATGATTTCCAGGGCTGGTCCCTTTAAACTTTCCACAATTCTTCTCCGTTTCTCCTTTTCAGAGCACTCACATTCAGATATCATCAACTTAGCTTGTTCAATCCAGTGATCCATAGTTTCTTCTCCTACAGGGGTTGGAACAATACCAGAGAAGGTACGTAAACGACGGTAGGCACTTCCATCACTCGATGGTCTTACTGTTTTTTCAAGAATTTCACCCACTGCACGAATTATTGACTCAGGTGAACTGGGATTTGCATTCTGTGGAGAAAATAGAGCATGTACATCAGTCATAGACTTGCCTTCATCCTTCAGAAACTTGGAGAGCTTGTCAGCAAACTCTGCTGGAGCAACATGAGCTGATTCTCTTTCCGTAGCTAAGATAATCATCCAGGCTTCCTCACCATCTGTAGGATGCAATTCCTCAGGGCAATTAGTGGGATCTACAACTTCTCTGCATTCACACAGCACTAACAGAGTTGTCGGAGTGGCTCCACATTTTGAGTCTCGAACCCGTACTCGTCCAAAAAGCTTCACACTCTCGGCCACTTTTTCAATGCAAGCAGTCTCAGTGTTTTGTGGTACTCCTGTCAGCAACAACGCATGAGCTGGGTCGATTACTGCTTCTCTGCACCACTCAAGAAGTTCACTCTGCAGTTGTGGGTCACTTCTGAAAGACATTTCTCAATAATAATCAGTTAGTTACAGGATGGTGTCAGTTTTTCCTCTTCAGTGTTCTTAACGTGTATTAAGGTGTTTAATTTACTCTTCTTAGGGTATCAGGAAAAGGTGAGAGTGTATCCCGGACGAGCCCCCAATTTGTGTAGCGCCCCCTGCCCTCTTAGGCTTTGTCCTGACCTAAGCTCTATAGGGTGGAGCACCGGATTCCTACAGTTTAGCCTCTCGACTATTATTTCACTCCCCCTAATCAGATACCACTTTTAGAGAACTTCACTGAATAAGTAAGCAAAACAAATTAAGTTATAAACAAATAGAAATTTATTTATAAACAAAATAAAAATAAAGATGAGTATAGAGGTATTTGTTATTTATAAAGGTGATATTATAGGTATAAATATAATTATAATCAATACACAATAGATAAAACACTAATTGCAAAGAGAAACAGTTATTAACCTTCAATAAACACACAGTATGAGTATCCAACAACTGGACCCCAATCACTTAAGCAATAAGCATTTTACACTTTTGTGACTTGATGCACTTTTTAGACGCTCCCTTACTAAAACTGTAAATTCACCCTTGAATGATTTAGATTACTCACAATTATTTAGTGCACTCGTATCTCAGATTATAGAATCTCAAAGCAAATATTCTCTAAATAAATGTAAAAATAACACCTTTTTCTCTTTTTTGTAAACGTTAACAGAAAATGAACACTTTTGCAACACTGAAATATTGAAAGTGGGCCCACTCTCACACACACACACACACACATACAGTCTCACCCACCCTCGATGCAGGCCTGTTATGTTGCTCGGGTGCGTAGTGGCCTTTGAAACTGCAAAATGGCCTCTTCACTCTTAAAAGAGCAAAAAGAAAACACTGTAAATGTACCTGGCTTTCCTGCAGCCGTCACGATCGTCGTCCGTCCCGCGATCGATGTCCTCCACCGCGAACCGTCCGTCCGATGCAGCGTCAGCACACAGCATGAACCCTCCCGCCGATGCAATGAATCTGTCCTCCTGAACGAGCTTTCACTCTCTTAACAGTTCACTCGCTAAAACACTGCGTCAGTCTAGTGTAGCATTGACTGCTAAAACACGAGGATATGGTCTCACACGAGCTTCAATGTCTTCAGCTCGCAAACGGTCTCAATATACTCGCAATTATAACACTTATTGCATACACTAAGGTTCTTAAACAACTTTAGAACACTTTAAATCAACTATAAACTTACAATAATCACAGGATTAGTTTTCTGATATGCATACATTTACAAAAACAAAACAAACAAACAAACAAACAAACATAAAAAAAAAAAACCAAACACCCCAAGCCCAGCCTGTAAGTATACACTACAGTGATAATCAAAACAACTTTTAGTTACAATACATTGCTTTGGGGGGAAGAATTCCCCATGAAGTAACAAAAGAAAGGGCCCCAAATTTTCTGAAATTGTCCAATGTTGCCTTTTAAAATAAATCTGGTTCGTTCCAGGTGCAGAGTAGATGTCAATTCTTCAAGCCATAGTTTGGCAGTTGGAGGATTAACATTTTTCCAATACAATAATAGAAGCTTTTTGGCTGTAATCAAACAATATGCAAGGAATTTCTGTTGTGGACTGCTCAATGAATATGTATAATCAGAATGTCCTAATATAATAAGCATTGGGTCAGGATCTATATGTTGGTCAAGAACATCTGAAAGCACTTTAAAGACCTCATTCCAGAATCCCTGTATTTTATGACAGAATACAAAACTATGAGCTAAATCAGCTTCTTCTGATTTGCACTTATCACAAATGGGAGATATGTTGGGGAAAATCCTATGTAATTTCTTTTTTGGGAAATGTAGCCTATGTAAGACCTTGAACTGGATGAGGCATAATCTAGTGTTGATTGATTGTTTATCAATGTCCTCTAAGCTATTCTGCCAAATCTCTTCTGAAATTTTGATGCCAAACTCTCGTTCCCATTCTTCTCTGATCATCTTTGTAGTGGGGGCATTAGCTGCAAATAACCTTTCATAAATTAGAGATAATTGATGTTTTTGTCCCCTGCACTGTGTGAGACAGTCATCAGCAATTGAGGGCGGCACCTCCTCTAGGGAAACATTATGTGTGCGCAGGTAATTTCTTATTTGTAAAAATCTGAAAAAATGTATTTTTGGAAGGTTATATTTCTGTTGTAATTGAGTAAAGGAACCTAAAACCCCATCTATATAAAGATCCTTGACTGTGTTTATACCCAACTTCTTCCATTGATTAAAGGTTGTATCTAATTTTGAAGGGAGAAATGATGGGTTATTTGCAATTGGGATTAGGAGAGAAAGTGATTTTATCTTAAGATATTCTCTTATCTGTCTCCAAATTCGTAACTGATTCTTTGTAACAATACTATTAACTACTGTTTGGTCTGTTATCACTGGAGATAATAACATTGCTCCAAGATCATAAGGATGGCAGTAATCTCGCTCTATCTGAAGCCAGTCTGGGGCAGTAGCCGATTGTTCCAACCATAATGTGAAGATTTGTATGTGTGTAGCCCAGTAGTAGAGACGAAAATCTGGGAAGGCTAAACCCCCCTCCTGTTTGGGTTTACAAAGATGATTTTTTTTAATTCTATGACTTTTGTAGTTCCACAGAAACGGAAGAATAATGGAGTCCAAGTGCTTAAAGAAGGACTTGGATAATAGTATTGGAATATTACGAAATAAATATAATATTTGAGGAAGAAAAATCATTTTTATCGCATTTATTCTGCCAATTAAAGAGATTGGGAGCGTCTTCCAATAGTCTATACACTTCTGTAGTTTAGAAAATAAGGGGTTAAAATTAGCTTTGAAGAGTAGAGAGTATTTACAGGTAACTACAATTCCAAGGTATACAATTTTTTCTGTGGACACCTTAAATGGAGAAGTATGTATTATAGATAGGTCTTTTAAACCAATGGGCATGAGTTCACTTTTTTCTAAATTAACTTTAAAGCCAGAAAACTTTTTAAAAGTATTAATAATCTTGAGTACAGCTGGGAGACTCACTTGTGGTTGGGTGATATAAAGCAAAATATCATCTGCATACAATGATATTTTATTAATAGTATTTGAAGTATGAAAGCCATGTATGCAAGAATTGGATCGAATGGCTTCTGCAAGAGGCTCTACCGTCAATGCGAACAAAAGAGGCGAGAGAGGGCAACCCTGTCTGGTTCCTCTTTTAAGATAAAAAGAGTCTGAAATTGTTCTATTTGTTAAAACACGTGCTAATGGACTATTGTACAAAATTTTTATCCAAGTTATAAAATCATCACCCAAATCAAATTTCTCCAGGACAGCGAACAAGTAACCCCACTCGACTCGGTCGAATGCCTTTTCGGCATCTAATGATATTACAATCAAATTGTCTCGGATTGCCTTAGGGTGATAAATTATGTTAAATAATCTTCTTATATTATGGATAGTGCTTCTTCCTGGAATAAATCCATTCTGATCTACGTTAACCAATTTATTGATAAATTTACAGAGCCTATTAGCGAGTGTTTTAGACAATATTTTTTGATCAACATTGAGGAGAGAGATAGGTCTATACGCCTCAACTTCTTCTGGATTTTTATCTTTTTTAGGAATTACTGTAATAATAGCCTCAGAGAAAGTTGGAGGTAGTCCAGTTTTTAATGCCTGTTGAAAGGTTTTAAGCAAATATGGAGTAAGTATGTGGCCGAATTTTTTATATAGTTCAGCAGGCAGCCCATCTGGACCAGGAGTTTTACAGTTTTTTAAAGTATTTATAGTGATCTTTAATTCCTCCAAAGTAATGTTTTTATTAAGACATGCTTTGTCCTCTGGAGATAACTTGGGGAGATTACATTTATGTAGAAATAAGTCCATTGTTTGTGAGTCAAACTCAGTGTCTGAGGAGTATAACTTTGAATAAAATTCCTTAAAACATTTGTTTATCTCTTTATTTGAGATACAGTGAGTCCCATGTTTGGTTTTTATTTTATGGATTGTTCTTTCACTATCAATTTTGCGCAACTGTCTAGCTAGTAATTTATGGGGTTTCTCTCCAAATTCAAAATATTTCTGTTTTACATAATGAAAAGTTCTATTAATTTTAGCAGAGACTATATTATTGTATTCGTACCTTAACTGTAAAATTTTCTTATAAACATCTAATGAGGGGTTTATTGCATTTTCAATGTCTAGCTGGTGGATTTGTTTTTCTAAATCACTTAGTTTTGTTTTGTATAGTTTATTCTTGGACCCTTGATATGATAAAACACAACCTCTTATATACGCTTTTAACGTTTCCCAGAGTAATGCTGGTGATGTTTCTGGCTTATCGTTACAATCAAAAAATATGTTTAGCTGCAAATTCATATAATCTATGAATTTAGGATCAGCTGTTAACTGAGGGTCCATCCTCCACAATGGACGAGTAAAAGATGTTTGATCAAGAATGACTTCAAATGAAACAGGGGCATGGTCTGAAATCAGTATGTCATGAATTTTAGAGTTTAAAACATTAGAAATGAGATTGCTGTCGACTAGAAAAAAATCAATACGGGTATATACATTATGCACATGTGAGTGAAATGTATAATCCCTTTCAGTTGGGTACATAAGTCTCCATATGTCCACCAAATTAGAATTATCGATAAAAGCATTCAAAAAATGTCTTGAATTAGAATGTGGGGCAATTTTAATCGAGGATCTATCAAGATATCCGTCAAGGACACAATTAAAGTCCCCGCCTATGACAAGATTGGTTTGGGACAGTTTGGGGATTAAAGAGAATATTTTTCTAAAAAATTCTGGTTCGTCATGGTTTGGACCGTACAAATTTATTAACGTAATTGGTAAGCCACAGATCTCACCAGATAGAATGATGTAGCGTCCTTCCCTGTCTGTTTCCAGGTTGTTTAGTTTAAATGGAACCCCTTTTCTAAATAAAATAGCAACCCCCCTAGATTTAACTGAAAAATTGGATTGATATATCTGTCCTATCCAGCTACCCTTCAGTTTATTTTTGGAATCTTTTTTTAGATGAGTTTCCTGCAAAAATATTATATCTGAGGAAAGAGACTTTAAATGCGCTATTGTTTTGCTTCTCTTAACCGGATGATTTAATCCTTTTACATTCCACGAGACAAATTTGAGACCCTTCCTACTACATTTAGTTGTTATTTTTTCTTGATTTAAAAAAGATCAAATCAATAATCTTCACTGTTCGTTTACTATAAGGTATCTTAAACAGGCTCCTTTCCCGAAACTTAAACATTAACCCCGTCATCTAACCGACAAACCAGAACTCGCGGCACGATACGGAATTACACACGAAAAAAAAAAATAAATAAAATAAAATAAACAATAAACGTTAGTCAAAAACAGACA